CAATATAATGGAAGAGCATCTGGCGTGCGAATTTACTTAGATACCGAGGCTATGTCTCTCAGTGATATCTACATAGTTAGACTGGTTGTGGCCAAAGACTATCGCAAAGCTAGCGCTTATCAAGTCATCCATTTGGCGAAAGGAGATCCCCCTAAAATATATCAAAGGTAAGAAAGTTGGCATGTTGTTGATGCTATCGTTGTGGCTGTTGCTTGTTCTTTTTGTTGCCACTGATATCCCTATTTATTTTCCTATTTTCTAATTGTTGCTACTGCTTCAGTTAAAGTTGTTGTTGTTGATTTTGCCATTGCTGTTGTTGTTGCTGTTGTTTGTTTCCGATGCCTTGTCTTGAATGCCTCAAATATCGCTGTATTTTGTGTTTCGTTCTCTGTTGCAGTAACTATGACCACCATAGTTCTCAAAAGGCAAGACCCTCGTTACGTTGCATTGATCTACATTCTCGTTATGTAATCACCATTCTCTCCTTCATTTTAGATGTTTCATTAATTGTCTGCCTAAAATCAGCCCCTCAGTACGACTTAGTGTCCGATCAGAATGCCAGGGATTACAGTGCTTCAAAATTTTTTCATACGAGTGGATACTCTACCAGCAATATGAGGGAAACGCGTCCACTGCTTGGCAAAGAAAACATAATTTAGAACTCATTACCAGTACACCACTAAATGCAAGCAACATTGTTATAAATGGAGGTTCTCTTGCTGCTGGAAATAAGTACCGCTTGGCATTAAATATCACAACTACCGACGGTTTATGGGCGATGTCAGCCTACGACATTTCCATTGCGCTACCGCCCACAAGGGGGAAATGCTCGATCACTCCGTCAAGCGGCATCTCCTTGGAATCACACTTTCATCTGAGCTGTATCAACTGGACAAGTGACAGCACCCCCCTGTCCTACCAGTTTCAATATAGACTAGAGAACGGTATGTACAATGTGTTATATCATGGCGTCAACAACTCTATAGTTGCTCTTGGGATACCGCCTGGGAACAATGCAGAAAACTATACCATAAGCCTCAACGTTGTTGTGACTGATAACGTCGGAATTTCTGCCTCTCCTGTTAATCTAACAGTACAGGTAAGTTTAGTTGGTAGGTACTGTAATATTGATGTACATCGGAAATTTTGTTGACATAATTTTGTCCTTTTTTGACAGCTACCCATCGGAGGTTGAGATAGTGACTGATGCTCTTTCTATAGGTTAAGCCCTCCGAGAGTCTAAGACCAGATGAAATTTCAAGCCTTTTGATGGCAAATGACAGTTTGTTTCATGAAGTCATCAGTAAAGGAGACTTGGGAAAGGCGGCACAATTAGCAAACTCTGTCCTTCAAATTGTTAGACTAGAAACTAAGATGAATTTTCAGGATAAAATCAAGGTAAATGCATTTACAAATGCTTTCATACTTCTTGGACGCACTATTCGTGTAGTTGCATAATGATATCTCTACGTATCCACCTATTTACGCATTCGTGTGTTCATGTATCGTGGTACTAATGAATTTTATCATTCAACTGCACTGAGTGGAATACAAATAATACATAGTATTTATGTGAACTAGTTTATTCATGTATTCGTGGACTCATGTAGTCGTGTGGTAGTGTACTCGTGCATTCCAGTATTCGTGTAGTTGTTTATATTTTTGTACCCGTGCTGTCGTATAGTCACATGTTAGAAGGCTCCTGCATTAATATATTCGTTTGAACTTCATTACATTTCAAGGTTATAGACTTTATAATAAAAAATATTGCGTCAGTGAAAGTAAACAACACTGCAGACCTGCTTCAAAGCTCCTCCGTGATTGGTTCTGCTCTTCACGTTTTGGAAAAGGTCTCTCCCGAGTCATTGGTAGGTAAAATTAGATCGAACGTTTATCAGAAAGAATGAGACACGTGTAGAGGAATATGAAATTGCGATAATTGACAAAATGATGTAAACTTTTGACTGCTTTTTCATATACCAGAGTTCTTCAGCGCTGTCATGGTTGTTTTGGTTTAATTAATCAAGCAAAGGCAAAAATGTTTGAAAGAAGAAGTTTAAGTGCGTTTTAAAATTCCTTAACCTGAACAAACTTGGTTTAGAGGCGACGATTCCTCTCTAACTCCTGACTCTTAGAAATAGAAATGTATTGTGCTGAGCAGCAAATCTTAGGAAAGAATAATTCCATGTTTGTGCATGATGTACTTTCAGGAACTGTCGTTATCGGCTGTCGACTCGCAAACGAAATTCTTATGATCAACCGTCCAGTTGAAGGACGTTGCTGATTTGTCGTTAGTCACTCGATCGGCAGAAAACTTAGTTTGGTGTCTTCAAATGGTGTTAAAGATATCCGCAGAGATGGCGTCAATAGATTCCACCGTAAGCTTCCAAGAGCAGGTATTTTATTGGCTGTTGTAGTCTAACAGCGAAATCTAGTTACATATGAAACTTCAAGCTGCACTTGAGTCGGCTTCCCTCGTTTTCAATTGACACATTGCGTGTCAGGTTGGCGCTGCTGTCAAATTAATGTGCTAAAATTTTTAATTGTCCTTGCTAAGATCTTTTCGTCAGTTTAGCTTTGCTTCTTTTCGTTATTTTTACTTGTTTGTTTGTGATGTTTTGTTTCATTTTACAGGGTGAAAAATCTGTTAATACTGCCCTTAAAGTGCTTAGAAAAGTTGCAGACGCATTGTTAGCCCTGAGAGTCCCAGATGAAAACATGATATCGATCTCCACCGGTCACTTGAACATGACATTAGGGCGACATAGCCTGAGTAAACTTGCAGGGCTGCAGATAAAGGGTGGAAGTGGCAGTTTCATTTTACCACCATGGCCTGTCACAGGAAGAAACACAACAAGTTTTGTCGACACCCAGGTAAGGGATTACATCAAATTAAGAAACGAGCGCGTGTCAAAATCGATTCAGTCGTGAGTCACTTCGGAAAGTCTGATAACCCAAGAGCAAACGCATTCGAAGGTACAGTCTTTGTTAGCCATCCTGAACTCTTTTTCTCGTTTGGCTTCCGTAATTATGGTCAGTTAGCGATAATTATCATGTCTCTTAATCCTTAATTCCTTAAAGTCAACAAAAAGTTTTGATTTATTCTTATTGCAGATGCTATCAATGTCATTCAACCCCTACACCTGGGACAGCACCAGGGAGCGAGTCGACTCCGAAGTTCTATTTCTGGACCTAAAGGACAATAAAAGCGAGCTATTGGAAGTATCAAGTCTACCAGACGACATTGTCAT